CTCTCTCTCTCCCTCCCTCTCTCTCTCTCTCTCTCCCTCCCTCTCTCTCTCTCTCTCTCCCTCCCTCCCTCTCTCCCTCTCTCCCTCTCTCTCCCTCTCTCTCTCTCTCTCTCACACACACACACACTCTCTTTTAGTTTTCTTTGTGAGCTGCCAGCAGAAGAGGGTCACATCTCAACAAAGCCTCTGGCTCTGTTCCCACAGTTCAGCCCAACCTCCTTTCAGCGGGGTCCTTGTGTTGTGCGAACCCTACCGAATTAGCATTTGTTTGGTCTTTGCCTAGCGCCACGTAAGAATCCATGGCGATCCCCAGCCTGGCTGCTATGGTTATCAAGCTTCGTGACCTTGGAACCCCCTAAAATGGTCAATGGTTTTTGTCTGACCTCTTTCCGTGAATCAAATCGGTTATTTCACTAGAGTTACTGTGGGGCAAGACATAAAAAATACTTTTTCTTTTTTACAATTATTTTCAATCTCTCTGTGTGTGTATGTATGTGTATATGTATGTATGTATGTATGTATGTATATGTATGTATGTATGTATACATAATACACACACACACACACACACACACACACACACACACACACACACACTCAGCCAGCATCTCTAGAACTATTCCAACGTCAGGAACAAAATCCAGTCAAGAACTTTGCCTGGGCGGTGGGGGGTGGAGGGTTGGAGAGACCTTTTGGCTCACCAGGATAGCAAGTTCCCAGGCCCCTCCCCACCCAATACAACGAAATAAAGCGTTACTTTGGTGTAGTGATAAGACACCAGGCTAAAAACCAGGAGACGGTGCGTCCTAGTCAAGCTTTGACCATGGCCAGTCACTGTTCCTCAACTCAAGAAGTAAGCAATGACAGAACAGAGAAAACTGCAGGAACTTGTCAATCAATTAAAAAGAAAGAGGACCCTTTATGTGTATCAGTGGTGTATTAACCATAAAGAAGACTAAGCACGTGCTTAGGACACTAGGCCCAAAGGGGGCACCACAAAGTTGAGGGGGGAAAAACCCAATGAAGATTTGTACAAAGGGAGGGGGGCACCAGTGAGCCTTAATCCACCACTGATGTCTATACCCGTTCCCTTCTCTCTCTCTGCTCCTATCTTTCGAATAATTCACTAAACACCCTCCCCCCTTGCAATATCCACAGCCAGATCAGCCAGACGCCCTTCTGCGGCATCGGCCCCTTAACCTGGTCTCGTTACTTCACCCCTGTGGAGAGAGAAGGCGGGTGTGAAACAAAAAACGGCGTTTTCTGCGGTGCCTTTTCCTGCCCGATTTTAACCGAGGGACTTGGATGCAACCTAAATGTGACTGACTCCGAAGCCACTTCAATCAACAGGACCGTTTCCCAAAGACAAAAAGGACTAACGTTACTACTAGGGGACAAGGGCAAGGGGGAAATGGCTCCGTTTCGTGAAAATCGAGGGGAAGGGGGAGCTTAAAAACCAGTGCCGCCTAGCCAAAGAAGCCGGCAATCCCGCTTCGCCACGCCTCCTTTTACTGCCCCCTTCTCCAATCGGCGCCTCGCCTTCATTTTGTTGAAAGCAGCGCCACGCCGTCCGGACTCGCACACAAGATCTGTGCTTTCCCTCCTGGCCGATGTAACTCGATCTCCCTGGGGCTGGGCGAAGGCCGGGAATTCCTACCAGCTGCCACCTTCTGTTCCTTCTTCTCACCTATGTGCGACATCTCTACCGTTAGTTACTCACCATTCCACTACACTCTCTCCTCTCATTTTTCTGAGATTCTGAAGTCTAGAATATGGGTGTTTAAAATACTGGTCTGGCGTTGTCTCGTTGTTCATATATAGGAAAGGCTGCACCTTGAAAAATATGTTGTAAGCTGCCCAGAGTCCTTGGATGGGTGGCAAACAAATTTTATACGTACATGTATGTACCCATGCATACATACATTACTGAAACACATCAATTCTGTGTATAACTTTATCCTTCACTTTGCATACCTTTGCTTAAGGGTCTCAGCAAAAAAAGGTTTTTAAAAAGTGTGTGAATGAAACTTCACCTGTTTTTTTAAAATATGTATTACTTATCAATTGTGTTTAGACTGTTGTAGTTACCTCTTGACTTTTTTTAAATCCATGCTCTGTGAATAGTCCTGTTTCTAAATGTCCGTGGAGATTCTCAGTCATCCAGGCCAGGATTGTCCCAAAGGTGCTTTTTCAAGAGGCAACTGGACTTTCTTCAGCTTCAGAGCTCTAAAAGTTTCTTGGAGGAGAAGAGAAATGCCTTCAAAGAAAACCCAGAAAGTCCAGTTGCCTCTTGAAAAAGCAACTTTGGACTCCTGTTTCTATTCTCTCATCCATTTCCTCTGGTACCAATGTGGGATGAATTTTCTCTGCTGTCTCTTCAGAACAGCTTAGTCTGCAATCCTGCCCATCTCAATGAATTTTGATCTGAGGTTATCTTGCAGACCCACTAGCAAGTAAGTCTCAGTTTGCAATCCTGCATCAATTCTCCTGGCAATAGGTCAATGGAATTCAGTTCTAAGTAAGCATGGACAGAATTCTGCCCTTCACCTTATGATCCATGATCATTATCTAGACATCCCAATAGATGATAATCAGTTTAGGGAATAAAAGTTTTAAAATCCTGATCTGAGCTGTGCAATCAAGGCTTCTTAAATCAAGCATGCCTTTTTAAAATGGCCTCGAAATGCTGGTGTCAGAAGCCCAACAGCTTTGTTTTCGACAATTTCTGGATGATAGCAACAGCACTAGCAGACTTATATACCGCTTCATAGTGCTTTACAGCCCTCTCTAAGCGGTTTACTGAGTCAGCATATTGCTCCCACCAATCTGGGTCCTCATTTTATCGACCTCGGGAAGACTGAAGGATGAGTCAACCTTGAGCCCGGTGAGATTTGATCTGCCAAACTGCTGCCAGCCAGTTATCAGCTGAAGTATTGCACTCTAACCACTGTGCCACCACAGCTCAGTGATGTTCCCACTGGGTTGATTCATCCTCCTCCCCCCCATCAAAAAAAAACCTTGAAACAGCAGAAAATAGATTAAGAGCAG